ATGATATTGTATAAACATACTTCCATGATATTGTATAAACATAAAATTCCTGCTGTAGGATGTAACTTCTGAGCTCCTGATGAAAGAACTACCATCTAAATTGCTGCTGTAGGATTTAACTTCTGAGCTCCTGATGAAAGAACTACCATCTGAATTCCTGCTGTAGGACTTAACTTCTGAGCTCCTGATGAAAGAACTACCATCTGAATTCCTGCTGTAGGATTTAACTTCTGAGCTCCTGATGAAAGAACTATCATCTAAATTGCCGCTGTAGGATTTAACTTCTGAGCTCCTAATGAAAGAACTATCATCTAAATTGCTGCTGTAGGATTTAACTTCTGAGCTCCTGATGAAAGAACTACCACCTAAATTCCTGATGTAGGATTTAACTTCTGAGCTCCTAATGAAAGAACTATCATCTAAATTGCTGCTGTAGGATTTAACTTCTGAGCTCCTGATGAAAGAACTACCACCTAAATTCCTGATGTAGGATTTAACTTCTGAGCTCCTGGTGAAAGAACTACTTTCTGAACTTCTCATGAACGATCTACTTTCTTAATGCCCAATGTATAATGGAACACCCCTCAATAATGTGTGAACATGTGTACAGCATGAGATTGGAAGTGTAGTGTCACTATTAAAGTTATGAAAAATGTCATTGCTCTTAACAATACTGAAAAGGGACAACAGTAAAAGGTTTAGGAAAATGTAATGACAGCAGTTAAGGATTTAGATTTGTATTATTAAAAGCAGCATTTAAGGATTAGGGTTAGTGTATTGATAAAAGAATGATCAGAGAAACTTTTGTAGATGAAAAAATTAAGGACTTGGAAGTATGTTTATACAATATCATGGAAGTATGTTTATACAATAACATGGAAGTATATTTATACAATATCATGGGAGTATGTTTATACAATATCATGGAAGTATGTTTATACAATAACATGGAAGTATATTTATACAATATCATGGGAGTATGTTTATACAATATCATGGAAGTATGTTTGTACAATATCATGGGAGTATGTTTAAACAATATCATGGAAGTATGCTTATACAATATCATGGAATTATGTTTATACAATATCGTGGAAGTATGTTTATACAATATCATGGAAGTATGTTTATACACTATCACGGAAGTATGTTTATACAATATCATGGAAGCATGTTTATACAATATCATGGAAGTATGTTTATACAATATCATGGAAGCATGTTTATACAATATCTTGGAAGTATGTTTATACAATATCATGGAAGCTATGTTTATACAATATCGTGGAAGTATGTTTATACACTATCACGGAAGCTGTAGGATTTAATTTCTGAGCTCCTGATGAAAGAACTACCATCTGAATTCCTGCTTTAGGATTTAACTTCTGAGCTCCTGACGAAAGAACTACCATCTAAATTCCTGCTGTAGGATTTAACTTCTGAGCTCCTAATGAAAGAACTATCATCTAAATTCCTGATGTAGGATGTAACTTCTGAGCTCCTGATGAAAGAACTACCATCTGAATTCCTGCTTTAGGATTTAACTTCTGAGCTCCTAATGAAAGAACTATCATCTAAATTCCTGCTGTAGGATTTAACTTCTGAGCTCTTGATGAAAGAACTACCATCTGAATTCCTGCTTTAGGATTTAACTTCTGAGCTCCTGACGAAAGAACTACCATCTAAATTCCTGCTGTAGGATTTAACTTCTGAGCTCCTGATGAAAGAAGAACTACCATCTAAATTCCTTATGTAGGATTTAATTTCTGAGCTCCTGATGAAAGAACTACCATCTGAATTCCTGATGTAGGATGTAACTTCTGAGCTCCTGATGAAAGAACTACCATCTGAATTCCTGATGTAGGATTTAACTTCTGAGCTCCTGATGAAAGAACTACCATCTAAATTCCTGATGTAGGATTTAACTTCTGAGCTCCTGATAAAAGAAGAACTACCATCTAAATTCCTGATGTAGCATTTAACTTCTGAGCTCCTGATGAAAGGACTACCATCTGAATTCCTGCTGTAGGATTTAATTTCTGAGCTCCTCATGAAAGAACTACCATCTGAATTCCTGATGTAGGATTTAATTTCTGAGCTCCTGATGAAAGAACTACCATCTCAGGAATTCAGATGGTAGTTCTTCTTTCATCAGGAGCTCAGAAGTTAAATCCTACAGCAGGAATTTAGATGGTAGTTCTTTCGTCAGGAGCTCAGAAGTTAAATCCTACAGCAGCAATTTAGATGATAGTTCTTTCATCAGGAACTCAGAAGTTAAATCCTACAGCAGC